CCTTTAAATTGAAGATTCAAGATTCTCAACTTTTGCTGCTAAATAAAACTATAAAAGGGAGCTGAATGAACACAGCAGGTCAAGCAGCATCATAGGAGCAGGAAAGCTGAGAATCTTGAATCTTCAATTTAAAGGTTTTTCACCACACAGACAAAATTATCTACAATTTAGGCATCCAGGGAACAAAAAAGGACATTTTAACCAATATTCTTTCCAGCTCTCATTGTGTACAGATCGTTTTTTCCTGAGACACCCTTATTGAGTCATTTTCCTTGATGCAGCATTTCATCTTAAGATGGATGTTGGTTTGCATTCAGACATTTTACAGCATCACTAATAGCAATGATATTTAAATAGTTTACCTCTGAAAGTACAATGGAACTATAAGATAACTTACAACTTGACCATTTTTTACATTCATAATTATTTCCCTCCAAGACATTTCCAGAATTCTGTGACCTTAATAATTAACAAAAGCATGTTGAAGTAAAAACTAAACAAACTTCCACAAAGTCTACAAAGCTACATTTTGCAAAATCCTCTTCTGACCTTTATTAAAAGGAACATCAGTACCTAAGCAAAGTACAAATTAAACACAAAATTGAGTCATGAAAAATGAATATTGAGAAATGTTTCATTCACAGAGGAAGTCAAACATTACTTTTAGGGGATTTTACTCTGCAGACACCTGAAACCTCTTTCCCTTTCAAAACTACCAATATTTGACAAATGTACAGGTGTCCTCCTGAAGTACCCCTGATACTTTTGCCTAGAATCCAGTGAAGCCAAGTGCATTTAAAAATGAATAACCATTAACAAAAATGTTTTGGAGAAAAAAGTCTCAACGCACAAATTCCTTATCTTTATGAAAACTAGCTGTCTTTGTTAACCGAATGAGATAAATAAATAAAACACAAGTGAACTGGAAGTATGGGTTTATTTTGTCACTGTACTGCTTCTCTAAAGCCAATGTGTTTGACACTTCCTTGCCAATCAATATGCTAAGGTCTTTCTAGTTATGAAAAAATGATCCAGTGATCATTCAGTCATTAATCTACATTTTTAATCTCAGTAAATGCTCATGCTTCAGTAATTATGGTAATCAATGCATTAAGTATTTTTTGTTGCGGTATGAAAAGCATTTCATCAGGTGATAATGTTTAAAAGTGGTGGTGCTGGTAGTTTTACCTATGTTTCGGCAAACCCCTTAGAAACAGGTTACATAAATGATTAATTTGTTTTTAAAATCTTATCTCTTGGAAAAGGATCTTAAAAGTCCTTTTTGTTTAAAACTATGCTATAATGTGTAGATTATAATTAAGCAAATAACTTGGAAACACTCTATAACTGCAATTTTATTTTAAAACAGTACTGTAATTGGAAACTAAAGATAACGCAGTGTGGAGCTGGAGGAGCACAGAGAGCCAGGCAGCATCAGAGGAGCAGGAAAGTTGACGCTTCGGGTCGGGATCCTTCTTCATTTCTGAAGTAGGGTCCTGACCAGAAACGTCAACATTCCTGCTCCTCTGATGCTGTCTGGCCCGCTGTGCCCCTACAGCTCCCTACCGTGTTATCTGACTCCAGCATCGGCAGTTCTCACTATCTGAGTAATTGGAAACTAGTCGCATTTTACTATTACTAAATCAAAATATTAACGAGCTCCCTTTCCAATTTTAAACAGATTTCTTGCCTCCTTTAAGGTATTCCTACACCATCGCTTTTGTCAAGTAGATGACTAATATATTCACAAACATAAACAATGAAAGATGTGACAGTGTGGTCTCAGATGGCTTCCCTGTTTGCTTTCCTCTCTGAAAAACTACCTAACCTCTAGTGAGTTTGTCCTTCCTTGCCCATGCCTCAAAAGGCAAAAAATGAAACCCATCACATGGGGAAATCAAGTGCCTAACTCCAAATGCACTCAAACAAAGCATAGCCGCAAAGCGTCAGATACATCAAAAAGCAGAAAAAGTAGCAAAGGATTGAAAATCATGGGAATACCATCTGGCTAGCTGCTTCAGTTTTCAGTTCACTAAATTTGGAAAGTAGTTCACCTTGATGCGTAAGTGAAAGCAATGTCCCCATCTTGACTCCTGATCAGAAAGATACATCTATGTGAGAAGTGTGTGAAAGAATCAGGTAAAAAAAATTCAGCCAAGAAAAAGTGATAGGGGAAGATATTTTCAGAAGCAAGTTGGCAACCAATAATTTGCCATCCATTAACATTGGTTTTATTTAATAAAATATATACCATGGATTTTCTTTTGACTAAAATAATTCATGAAAATCTGGCTTCTGAATAACTAAATTTTGAGAAATTTTACAAGGACTTCTTTCTAGACTAAAGCATTCTCTCAGAATTTGACAAGGTCAAAGTAGCTCTCATTTTTTAAATATCAAAAGATATTTTAAACAAGTCATCTGCTTTGAAAACGATATTAATTGTCTCAGTTCTGAGGAAGGGTCACCAGACCCGAAACGTTAACTCTGTTTTTTCCTTCACAGATGCTGCCAGACCTGTTGAGCTTTTCCAGCAATTTTGTTTTTGTTCCTGATTTACAGCATCCGCAGTTCTTTCGGTTTTTCTTAATTGTCTCAGGCCTATTGTACACAATAAAGGTGATTTTTTTCTTATTTGAAAGGCCACAGTTTTAATGTCAATAATATCTGTCCATTCCAAAACTAAGGCCACTGACATTCATCATATTTAATGCTTTGAAAAGATTCAAAAGAACAAAACTTCACTGCTATACAATCAGATTAACAGAGTTTGCTTTCAGACAAGGTAGCTGACAGGCAGGACATCCATTCGTAATACCACAGCAAGTCAAACAAAGCATTAGAATGGTTCTAGAACGACCTCCTCTCGGATTTTTTTCCCATCTCCCTTTTCCCTCTCTTCAAAATGTAGCCGATAATAATGCAATCAAAACTCTTTTTTTAACACCAATAACTTATCTAGGTCTTGTTTGCAGTAGCATTGCAATACTAAGCTTAAAAACAATACAATATTTTATGTAATAAATTACAATCAATCATTCTCACGGCATCATTATGACACAACAGGATGCTATTCAACCTATCAAGTCTTTTGTCAGCTCTCTTGAGCATTCCAGTGAGTCCCCTTCCCTGTAGCCCTGCAATGTTACTTAACTCAACTGCACATAAATGACAATTTCAATTGGAAAGTAATGCTTTCACCACCCTTGCCACAGAGGGCTATAAGTCCTTCCTCACATCCCTCCACACATCTTGTTTGTAACTGTAAATCTGTGTGCCCTATTCTTTATATAATCAGATCGGAACAGCTTCTGTCATTATGTATCTCTGTCTACAATAGCTGAACATGTCATAATCTCGAACATGTCTTTCAAATCCCCAATTTCCTGTGTTCCAAACAGAACAACCAAAAACTCCAACCTAACCTTAAAGCAAGAACAACCAGAACAAATTATCTTTAGAAGTACTGCTGTAGATTACTCTGAAGTTATGCCACTGATTTTTGCAGGGACAGGACAACTAGCAACGCTCATCATAGCCCCATAAAATTCCTCTACCTTCTCAGTACGCCACTCTGATTGCCCCATTAAACATATATTTCTATCTAGGTTACATGAAGCTGCAAGATTTCCACCACATCTGACTAGCTGGTTGCAGATCAATGCTTCTCAAGTGCTGAAAGGTGTTTGACTAAATGAATAAGTTCTATGAAGATGGTTCAGGTCTCTTGCTAGTACCTCTATTTCTCTACCTGTATTATATATTACAATTGCTTCCTCAGTCTTCCAACTGACACAATTAAATAACTAATCATGATAGGATTGTGGGATCCAAGGCTAAGGGCAGGTTGGGTGCAAAAATTGGCTAAGTAGCAGGTGCTTTAGTAACTAGATGTTTCCAGTGGGATTCGCTGAAAGTCAGCAGTGTGCTCCTTGTTGTGTGTCATAATTATGCCCTCAGCCATTGATATACAAGAAATCTGCAAATGACATGAAAACTGGCCATGCGGTTGATAGCAAGGAAGAAGGGAAGATGTCAAAGAACTGGTCAGGTGGAGAGAAAATTGACAAATGAGATTCAGTCTAGAGAAGTATGTGCCATACACTTGGTGGGGTGGGGTCATTATAAGCAAGGCAAGTGAAACAAAATAAACAGTAAGATTATGAAAGATGTACAGGAAGTGAATGACACTGGAGTTTACAACTACAGATCCCTGAAGATAGCACGTCAAGTAGATTAGGTGGTCAAGAAGGCAGATAAAATACTCTATTTCACAAAAGCAACAAGATCCTGCATAAAATACTAGTTAATTCACATTTAGAATGGGGTGCAGAGTTTTGGTCAATGGCCACCATGTTATTGGATGGATGTGATTGGACAAGAAAGAGATTAAAAAATAATACAAATCTCGAGTCTAACATAAAAGCCAGAAAAAATTTCGAATCTTTGAAATTTATTTTTGCAATGCATTAAGTCTCCATGTAGGATCTGCAATTGCCAAGGGCATGTTTCCAGGACACGGCCTCTTCACAATTGAGAAGACAGATGGATGGCCTGTTCCCAAAAACTACTAATATAGCAAAGGCCAGCTGTTAGGAAGAGTTCTCCAATATGACAATAAATACCAGGAAATGGTTAACTTACTTCTCAGTATTCCATCATTTGAAGATTCACAAGTGAAGTCTTTCAGTTAATCCTTCTCCATTTCAAAGCACAATGCTGTCAGACCAGTATATTTTTTTTCCCCATTGAAAAGCCAGTATTTCAGGGTTTTCAGTGGAGCTGTGGAGTTAATGAACAGGACTGATTAGAAGCAATGATATCTGCTAATAATGACTTTTTCCACTGAGTAATTTGCTAGAAAAATGCTAATGACGCAAGATTATTTAAATACTGTTCTACAGATACCAATATTGGTCATTAAAATATGATTATAATTGATCGAAAGAATATGTAAAATCTTTCCAAATAATCATAAATAGGCTGCCGTTCTCATGTACATTAATTTCTGATTTAAAGCATTGAGTAATCAGTTCATTACTTGTGATTATCTTCATTCTTGATCACGTGTATTAAAATACTTTAACTCCTGCTCCCCACCTAGCCCTCTCTCAGGCGTGGACAACAATAACATGCACACCTCATATCAAGAAAGAACGTGTGGATTTTTAGATCAAGGCCTCTCCCTCTGAAGGGCAGCTTGTTATGAGATGCATCTCAACGAGTCACATCAAACTGGCTTATGAAACTTTTCCTTTAACAAGTAGACCTTCAAAAAGTTTTCCAAAATTTCATGATTTATTTCTTTAAACCAGTAACAATGAATAATAAATAATCCTAACAAAAATCAAATACATTGCATGATAATGGCCCAAGTTTTGCTCTAGTAAGGCATCTCAATGTGCACTTCAGATGTGTTCATGCACATATAGGTTTATAAAAATAACTTGTTCACAAAGATGCTTGAAGTGAAAACTGCTCAGTGATGGCAACGAGTAACAAAATAAACAGTGCGTAACCAGTGAGATTAAAGGAGTAATAAACAAAAAGAACTGAGAATGAGGGTGCATTAGAGTGGGTCAATTCAATGTCAAATCAAGAAAATAGAAAAGGAAAGAAAGACTAGATTTAGAGACCAAAACAGAAACAAGGGAAAGCAAAAACAAACATCTTGTAATTTACATTTTAACAGTTTTAGTATCGTTGATAACCTAAATGAGACTTCACACATTTACTTGTGCATTTGCTGAGTTACTTAAATTTAGTGGTGAATTTATGAGTCAAATGTAAAAATAAAGTAACTTTAATTTGGGCAAATGAAAGTTTTATTAATGTGCAGATTGGCCAGCAACCTGTCAGCAATGAATACCCCTGCCACATCATTACCTATTGATCGACTTGCGAATTAGTAACAGGCTATATCACTCATTTCTTCAGCAAAGTCCCGGCCAGTTTGCAAATAGATTTTTTTTCTCCCTTAAACCAAGAATTGGTGAACTTAAGTGTGGAAAAAAATTGTACAGTAAAAAGCAAAGTATCTCAAGCTCATCATTGCTGCTTGAACAAAACATACTATGTTAGATAGAAAAATATCAATTAATTTTAACATTTCATAGATAGCAACCAAAGGAACAGATTAGCTTGAAGCTCCTCTACTAGTGAGAAAAATGGGAGGATGCCTATTTTTCTCCACAAACAATAACTCATGAATGAAAGTGAAGTCTCAGAAATTGCATGTTATCCTCTCCCACAATTTGTCAAGTTGCCATTGGTCACAGACATTGGAAGTGGTTCTCATTCAGAAAAATTTCAGAGATCTTCTCTGCTCTGTATTTAATGCAATGATGGCTCAAGATTCTTCTTAAAGCAAATATGTTTTGTATAAAAGGGAATGACAATCAAGATACAGTTGAGGTAGGCTAGTCACCAACTCCAAATGCCTGACTATTGTTGAATACCTTTTTGGGTATCCTGTTAAGTCAAACTTGGTAACCACTCTGCAATGCTAAGTTGCTTCAAAGACCAATCTAATACAAATATGGCATCTCAACTGACACACAGGAGCATGATTAGAACAGACACAAAATGACAAAGCTGAAGCCAGTCATTGTGAATTGCATATTTCTGAATATGGGCACCCTATAGCTTCAAGGTATGCAGGTAGAGAAGAAATGGATAATCAACAGGCCGTAAAGGAGGACAAGCCAGTGTTGCTGAAGTCCTGGATTGTATCTCACTCTCCAATGTTCACAACTGAATATTGGTTGATGACAGCAATGATTTATCAGGGCAGTTGGGTACCTCTGAGCCACAGGCACTAATCCAAGATTTGTGTGATCTCCCCAATACCCCGCGAAAATGTCACAGAGTGGCTGTAAACCACACTTACGAAGATGAACAGCCAGTGCTGTGTTCATGTCAGTACCAATGACAGGATGAACGACTCTGAAGAAACAAAATTCAGGACATTTCACTGACAGGACGGGTGGGGCAATTAGGGATGCTAGTGGAACCAGAGACGAGATGGGGCAAGTAAAGGATTGTTAGTAGAACGGTACATCCGAGGCATGCACCCGCACCTCCCAGCTTTGACCTGACTACCCCACCTAAGACATGGTCCATCTGAACATGAGGCTAAAATTCAGGATCCATGATTACTTTCTTCCAGTCTTTTCTCTCCACCCTTCCATCAAATAAGATGAAGGCTGCCAATCTCAAGTTCTTCCTTGGTTCCCAGTCCAAACCAACTCCAGGCAGACCTCAAGTCATGGCCAAGTAGGCTAACAGTACAGTAATCCAAAGATATACCAGCAGCATCAAGAAGAGACATCTGAATAGCCTCCCAGTTGCTGTCACATGAACAGGGGACAAATGACATCCCTAGCAGAAAGGGTATTGGATCCTGATCTGGCCCAGATAAACTGAAACCTAAGACTGGCAGGCAAAACTGAACCACGGAAGGACTACCTTTAAAGCAGAGATTGTTGAGTACAATCAAACCATATTTTTAAGGATAGAAAGGACAAACAAATCCACAACACCCAGGTCGACAAAGAGATAGTATCACATCTGCCCTCTATCTTTATAGATTGCTAAAAGGAAACTACAAGTTGGAATTTTTCATCTTGTGGATCAGAACTAGGACACAAGAAACGGACTCAAGAACAGCTCACTGTCAGTCTTAATCCCTAGACATGGTAGGTAAATTCCTTTTGAAACTATTTCTTTTGAGACACCAAAAGAATCCAGGCCAGCAATATCGACACTACTTCACTCTCCTCTAAAATGATGAGAGTATTGAGGTTGATTTGGTGTACATGCATTTCAAAAACAAGTTTGATGAAAAGCCATACAACAGGCTTGTCAGAAAAGCGTAGGGCCTTGAATAAAAGGACAGTGCAGCAAGAGCAGAAAGTGTCCCAAATGTCAGCATGTAGAGGTGAACGGTCAGTTTTTTTGAACTGGAGGAAAGTAAAGTATATCATGTGGTTTGTCAGGCGTCAGTACTAGGTTTTGTTATTCTACATTAAAGGGCCAGATCTGGGTGTACACAGCACAAATTCAGAAGTTACTAATGACATACAACAGTGAGGATAATAACAATAGACTTCCTAACAAGAGAAACAGGCTTGGAATGGGTGGACAAGCAGAAGATAACATTTTCATGCAAAAAAAGTTTGAAGTGATATATTTTTGGCAGGAAAATCAAGACCAGGTGCTATAAATAAAATGTGGGGTAATTCAAAACTAGGGGGCATATTTTTAAGATGAGAGGAGAAAGATTTAAAAAGTACCTGAGGGGCCTCTCTTACACACAGAGGGTGGTTCATATGTGGAATGAACTGCCAGATGAAGTCATAGATGCAGCTACAGTTACAACATTGAAAAGACATTTGGACAGGTACATAAATAGGAAGGGCTAAAAAGGATATGGGCCATACGTAGATAGGTGGGATTAGTTTAATTTGGGAGACTCGGTTGACATGGGCAAGTTGGAACGAAGGGTCTGTTTCCCTGCTGTATGATTCTATTATTCAACGATAACCTTCTCTGGAAATTTTACATTCCATCTGTCAACAAGAGGGAAAGGATGTGTTCCTAAAATAAATGTATATCCACTTAAATCTGAACACTGACAAATTTCTAATTGTTAAAGCATTCAATTGTGATCACACGTTTTCAACTGTCCATCCCCTCATCCTGCTCCAAATCTATTTTCATCATCAGTCCTGAAGAAGGGTAATACCCGAAACGTTGACTGCTCCTCTCCTCCAGACGCTGCCAGGCTTGCGATGCTCTTCCAGATGTTCGGTTATTTAAAAATAGCATACTTCCATCAGCTTGTCATGCTTCAATTCCTCCTGTTTGTCTACCTTGGATTCCAGCATCTGCAGTTTTTTGGTCTCTTTTTGGTCTTATATGACAGATTTCTAATTATTCAAGCATGCAGTTATCATCACGTGCTTTCAACTGTCTGTCCCCTCATCCTGCCTCCAAATCTATTTTCATTATTTCCTTGTTCAGTACATAGAGAGTTAATATGAATCAGTGAAAATAAACCAATAAAAGATTAGGTTTCAAGATGAATTTTTGATTTTAAAGCAACCTTAACTGCTTTGAAATGTGGAACAAAGAAAAACATGTATATTTTACAAATGTTCTTTCCAAAATATCCAATTGCTTCATCCAGATTCTTATTAGCAATTTTAATCATTGTTGTATTAAGCACAGTAATAATTAAAACATGGCTTTAGTAACAATCTGTTTTCTAAAATAGTCTAACAGCTCCTTTCAACTTTTTCTAAAACAATACGCGACAGCATAGTCAGTGGCTTTACCTCTAAGTACTGACAGCAGGAATGCAGTTAATGTTTATACAAGAAATATTATTATCAAAATAAGTAATTTGAAAATTTATGAGTAACACACAAATATAATCTTGATTTGAGGGCAGAACTTTAGAAAGTTTTCAAAAAACAGCCTTTTGGTGATAGAGATCAATCTTCCAGCTTTGCTGGCCCAGAGGTCCAGCACAGAAACCTGCACTAGGCTCCTCCATCCCAAAGTTTCAAAGCTGCATGACTTGAGATCAGAACTGATGGCAAGGCAGAGGGCTTCTCCCACACCAAAAAAAAGGTTGAATGTGAACTTTGGTCTTAGCTAAATGGCACTTATCCAATTGAAAACTAAACAGAGTCTTTGTGAAAATCTTCATTTCACTGCCCACGCCTTTTGGAAAACAGTAATGGATCAGGTTTTACACATTCAAGTTACCTTAGTGG